TGCAGAAGACCCAGGTGGCAAACGGCTCGCTGGCGGTGGTGGGTCCCGTCCCCATAAGAACACGAGCGTTGCTCCTCCAAGTCCTCAAACACGTGCCGGCAAGTCAGCGCAGAGCATGCTGTCAGACTCAGAGAACGTAGCCTCAGCGTGGGCCAGACCCAGGCAGGCGATGCAGTGCTCGTGTGGGTCCAACGGGTCGATGGCCCACGCAAAATCGACAGAAGGTTCCATCGGATGCGGTGAAGAAGCTGTAGTATCCTCTGGTGCGTATTCGACAATGGCAGTGTGAAGAAGATTCTGACGCAATTGCTGCTCTCGCCGCATTTATACTGCCCGCCAAGCCTGTCAGTATTTGCATGCGATTTGCATAGATGGGTGTCAATTGGCCAGTTTATTGAACTGGCATTATCCTATAAAACTTCAGGAAATTGGAGAAGGGGAGGAGTTCCCACAGCTATTTTCTTAGAGTGAGTGAACGCTCGATAAGGAACTAATTTTAATATAATATCCAAAACACAAAAGGGATACACAAGTGTAAGAAATGAAATGTTGTACACACAATTTACAACTTAAATAAAAGGGTGTATAAAATTAATAAAAATAGTGCATAAAACTACATATAGGCTATAAAACAGGCACACAGAGTAGCTTAACACTGAGAAAACTACACTTATGTACCGTACAGAACAAAAACCGGCAAACACAATAAAAAGATTAAAAAATATATATATATATATTTTTTTTTTACCTTATTATTAATTCTTTGGTATAGCAAACAATATGACCTCCTTACCTGCAGTCCTAGTCCAGAATTCAAAAGCATTTTGACTTGAAGCGGCATCAAAGTATCCTATGTCGTACAGTGAGAGAGGTTCAAAGACGGCCGTTGTCACGGTCTGGCGACCAAAGATAGCTTACTATAATTTTCTGACAGTGTCAGAAATTCAGCATGATCATCGCACAGTGTGTTTTGTGCTACGACCCAAGTCTACTGACCAGCCAATAAAAATGCGAATGAAATCAACGCGACACGGCGCTAAAACATAAAGCTGCTTGCCTCAAGCTCTTATCCCTTCCTCTTTCGCCGTTTCACTTTTTTTCAACACACATAAAAACTACAACTGCCAAAGTGTGATTCATCATGCTCTTTTTTTTTTTACCACTAGCGCATACTGATGACGTTTTATTCTTCTATAGTAACGTGCGTCGTAGCCTACAAGTCAATAGGTGTCATCATCGTCTGCATACATGTCGTACCCAAGTTTATCAGATCCATGTCGCACAGTGTGATTTGCAATGATCTTATAGGATTGTTAAAATTGTGCAGTGTGTAGAAGGCTTTAGCTGTTCTTCGGGCCACTGCTGTTGGCTGACAGCCAATAATAGGACCTGGTCATTTAGCAGCTTGTCTTAAAGCTGCTGCATGTTTTGTCATCCCTTTACCAAAACAGTAAAATGGAGAGATCATTTGGGTCGGGTTGTGCTCCATCTTTTCAAGCTGCTTGGCCATTGTAGTCATGGCATCACTGTAATCTAAGTTAGTTGACAAAGAAAACTCAAAATTCCAAACAAAAAAATCGAAACTTTGAAAAAAAGTTGTTTGATTTGAAGGTTTGATATTGTCTAAATGTATATCCAAATGAAATGCCTAATAAAAGTAACTCTGTCTGAAAACACTGTTCTCAACAACAAGGATCACACAGTCCTGTTTAAATGTATGCCAATACAGTCATCTAGTGGTTATACTACAGTATTGCACTTGATTGCCTCCATTCATTGGATTTTGAATACCTTTGTTTTAACTTACCTATTTTTAAAGGGGTCATATGACGAAGAACATTGTTGTGTATTTGGTGTAATGCAATGTGTTTATGCGGTTTAAAGTTAAAAATACCTCAAGCATCTGACGGAAATGTTACGCCCCTCGCCATATTGTGATGCCTTCGCCCAGCGTGACGAGACTCAGTCCAGCTGCTCTGCTCGTGCACATGGGAAACACACAGCGACTCCACAACATGGCAGCAGCGGCAACAGCGAGAATAAAAGTTCCGCCTTCTTTCTTTGCGTGAACATTTGGGCAGCGTTATGCAAATCTTCCCACATTGTGACGTAGACATGTGGGGGCGTGTTAGAAGGAGCCGTTTTAGGTAGGCGTGGTTGACTCTTAATTTTTATAAAGAAGATCTCTTTGGATTTGAGACTTTAGTCTTTGCAACTTTACAGATTTTCTTTATGCAACAAGAGAAAGGAAAAATTGAAATCGCATCATATGACCCCATTAACTTACAGAATTAAAATAGTATAAAATGTGTTTTCGCCACTGAATAAACAGCTTTTTAGAGGAAATAGCTTATAATTTAATGAATCGACAGCCTATCAGCTAATCTGTAACATGTTTTACGACGTACAATACTTTTGGATTGAACTATTTTTAGAGTTTAAACCAAAAAAAATGCAGTTTTATAAGAGAAGTCACTTACTTTTTGCGACAGGTGGGATACAGCTTTCGGCACTTCCCATTTATTCCTATGGTATCCGTAAACAGCGATTGAGTGTCGCACAACTCTGACTGAAATTCAATGACGTCAAGGCTGTAATGTGATTGGTTATGAAGGCACACGTGATTCAAGTTGACCGTTACACTTTCTCCAATAGTAAGTAATACAGACCCTCTCATCTTCCTATACTAAGACAATCTCTGGCAAAGCCTCTCCTCCATTGACATCCATTCCAAAAATAAATGGCCTCTGGTCCCCTTTCCCATGTACTGGCAAACCGGAAGCGTTAGCATTAGCCGTTACGCTTTTTTGGCTAAAGGTTGAAGGCTTGCCTTCTAGTGGCTTTGATGCATCGGTGCTGAGCAGACCGACTGGTATATGACATCAAAGTACCGTGAGAGCGATTAAAAAGCTTAAAGAGTCATCTGCTCACCAATCGCTCTTGCGGTACTATGATGTCATACACCGATCGGACTGCGCCGCGCCGATGCATCTCGAATGAGCCTAGTACTACTACAGTGAGAATAAAAGTTACGCCTTATTTCTTAGTGTAAACATTTGGGCGGTGTTATGCAAATCTTCCCACACAGTGACGTAGACATGTGGGGGCATGTTTGAACGAGGCGTTTTAGGAAGGCGTGGCTAAGGGTTCACTTTTATAAAGAATATGGGTGCATCTCAATCAGCTCCCTAGTTCCCGAGCTCGTGAATCAGTATATCATGTACACGAATTCGGTCACTGGTAAGTTCCCTGGCTCACTGCACATTGGGACAGTGATTACTTAATTAATTTCCGGTGACATGACTACATACAACGTCAACGGACAACATTGTAGAATGTCATTGCTGGAATTAATCGACAACAGGCAGGACCGGTTTCTTTTTGATATTATTTTTTAACACATCGTTCTGTTACATGTTCTTTTAACATTTCAGCCGAATATCAATTATAAATGTTAATTAAATGTGTTCATTACCTGTCTAGCGATGTGTGTTTATGCTAAAATATACTAATAAAAACGGTTTGTCTTTTCTAATCTTCTATCCGTGTCATTATATTTATTGAGTTGGCTCGTGTGGTTTATGTTTCGCGCTTCAGAAATGTGACGTAATTTCCGATGCTTCCTAGTTTTTGTGGTGCATTTTGGGATTTTTCAGGGCGCATACGTTCCAGTGCACTGGAAGTATTCGCGATTGAGACATCCCTTAAAATGTTCGACTCCCTGATCAGTGCCCTGACTACTGAACTAGGGAGCTGATTGAGATGCACCCTATCTCTTTGGGTTTGAGACTTTTTAATCTTTGCGACTTTACGGATCTTCTGTATGCACTTACAGCTTTTAACACTCCAAAGACAAAGGAAAACATGAAATTAAGTGATTCAGGTATTTTATGTGTACAGTAATTTTGCATGTACTGTGCACAGTAATAGTAAATAAATAGTGTAGATTGTATACATACTGGATACAGAAGAAGGTTTGGTTGTATGTGATTCTAAACATAATCCGTTTCCTTCCTTTTCAAGCTCGTGAGGCAGTTATTTGGGAGTTAGAACAGCGCCATCTACAGGAGAAGTACCATCTATTCAAACAGCAGGTGAAGGAGCAGTACTCCCTACAAAGACAGCAGCTGACCAAGAGACACAACAAGGTAAATTATGCTGTAACCTCTAAAAGCATTCTCGTTTCAGTTTTGTATTTATCTTCTGTATTTTACTGTTCCTTATCCTGATTAGTCTTCTGTGGTTCTGTTCTCTCGTATGGTAGGATAAGGAGAGCGTCTCGGTTCCAGCAAGCTCTACTGGAGGAGCAGAAGTCATTGCAGGCCCAGGAGAGAGTGTCCTTCCAGAAGGCCCAAAAAGCTGAAGCAAAGTCCAATTTGAATCAGTTCAAGCTGGAGATCAAAAAGCAAGGTCTGAGCGGTTCTGAGCAGCGACAACTTCCCACACAGGTTAGGATTCAGAAGAAACAAAACAACATAGTAAATCAAACCTCTACTTAATGAAACAAAACAGTTGCAACTGGTCTTTTCTGATTTGCCCTCTCAGTTTTTGTCAGAGGAGGAGGCCAGACAGAAGCAAGAGAGACAGAGTCTTCAAGAGAGTCACGAGAACCAATTGAAAGCGGTGCAGGAACAATGTGATGCCAGTGCAGCTGAACTACAGCAGCTTCAGGTACATCAATGTCAACTTGGGAACAGCCTTGCAGCGTTTTCATGTTGAGAGAAGGTGTTTCTCAGTGTCTGTGTGTTTGGATTTTAGAATGAGAAGCTCCAAATTCTTGTGGACATGGAGAAGAAAAAGATCAAAGCTCTGGAGGATGAACACACCCTGGAACTAAACGAATGGAGAGATAAGCTTGCATGTAGAAAAGAGGTATCGGAGTGAATAGTAAAACTGAGAGGTTTAAAGTTTTTTTTAATTGGGAAAAAAACATGACGACTGTTGTATGTTTATGTTCAGGTGTTAGAAGACCTCGCTCGCAGACGTAGAGAAAAAGAGGGAAACAGGAGACGAAGCAGTGAGTCAGAAAACCGGCATGCAGCTCACCATTCAAAGTTCTTCCATAATCTAAGCGATTCCTGACAAAGTGAAGAAATACTCTAAACTCCAATGTCTTTATTTACAGTAAATGTAAATTACTTTTCCAAAGTTTCATATATATATATACACAGTGGGGAAAAAAAGTATTTAGTCAGCCACCAATTGTGCAAGTTCTCCCACTTAAAAAGATGAGAGAGGCCTGTAATTTTCATCATAGGTATACCTCAACTATGAGAGACAAAATGAGAAAAAAAATCCAGAAAATCACATTGTAGGATTTTTAAAGAATTTATTTGCAAATTATGGTGGAAAATAAGTATTTGGTCAATAACAAAATTTCATCTCAAATGTGCAATTCCTAAACACTAAAAGGGTCCTCCATGAGTGCTGTGGTAAACACTGACTCCATTTTAATGACTTTCTTTTCCAAACAATAAGATGTATCTTTTAGATCTCTTATAAATGCAGCTAAAATGTCTAAAGTGCATCTGTTTTCTAGCAATAACTTCTACAAGTATTTATAATGTTAGAAAATACCATTCTTTCTCTCTTGTATATAATGTCCATTAGGCTCTTGTCTTGTACTATGTAAAATTGCCTTTGCATTTCAGTAAGCATTTTTCTTGAGTCTTAAACTCTGAATTGTGTGCATATCAAGTTTATGCTAACTCAGTGTGTTTCAATTTGTTAGGACCAAAATGGGGCAGTTATGCAAACTTGTACTGTTCGTTTTGGTTCTGATGGCAGTGCTACACAAGTCATCAGGAGGAAAGAAAGTGTTTGGGGGCAAGAACACCCCTTCCAAGAAGCCATCCAATAAGCCATCACAAGGGACCAAGACCCAACCTAACTATCCCAGGCAACCCTCTTATCCTAGTGCAGGAAGTAACCCAGGTAACCCTAACCAGAAGTATCCTGGTAGAGGCAGCTCTAGTCCGGGAGCAGGTAGCTATCCAGCTGCTGGAAGCTATCCTTCGGCTGGTGGCAACACCAATCAGTATCCAGGAAGAGGGGGATCCAACCCAGCCGGAAATCCCAACCAGAAACCTGGAGCAGGTGCCTATCCAGCTGGTGGCAGCTATCCTTTAGCTGGTGGCACCCCCAATCAATATCCGGGAAGAGGGGGATCCAACCCAGCAGGATATCCCAACCAGAATCCTGGAGCAGGTGCCTATCCAGCTGGTGGCAGCTATCCTTCGGCTGGTGGAAACCCCAATCATTATCCGGGAAGAGGGGGATCCAACCCAGCAGGATATCCCAACCAGAATCCTGGAGTAGGTGCCTATCCAGCTGGTGGCAGCTATCCTTCGGCTGGCGGCAACCCCAATCAGTATCCGGGAAGAGGGGGATCCAACCCAGGAGGATATCCCAACCAGAATCCTGGAGCAGGTAGCAATCCTGCTGGTGGCAGCTATCCTTCAGCTGGTGGCAACCCCAATCAATATCCGGGAAGAGGGGGATCCAACCCAGCCGGATATCCCAACCAGAATCCTGGAGCAGGTAGCTATCCTGCTGGTGGCAGCTATCCTTCGGCTGGTGGAAACCCCAATCAGTATCCAGGAAGAGGGGGATCCAACCCAGCAGGATATCCCAACCAGAAACCTGGAGCAGGTGCCTATCCAGCTGGTGGCAGCTATCCTTCGGCTGGTGGCAACCCCAATCAGTATCCGGGAAGAGGGGGATCCAACCCAGCAGGATATCCCAACCAGAATCCTGGAGCAGGGGGTTACTCTAACCAGTATCCAGGTAGAAGTGGGTACAGCCCTGGTGGGTATCCAGCAGGTGGATCTTACCCAGTAAGAACTGCAGGGCAGTCTGTAGGATACCCAGGAGGACACCCTTCCATTGGAGGGGGATATCCCAACTGGAACCCCAACAATAAGATTCTCAGTCCACGCTATGGAGGCTCATTTGGAGGTGGTGGGTTTGGCATGGGTGGCTCCCCTTTCTCTAATACAGTGAAAAGCATGGGCTATGGTCCTTCTGTTAAATCCAAAGGCTTCGCAAAAAAGGCAATGCTAGCTGCAGGCATTGGGGCAATAGCAGGAATGGCAGTAGGCTATGGAATCGGAAACTTTCCACGCCCCAACTTCCAATTCAGTAGCCCTCAGGAGGAGCATCAATACAACCACTATATGTACAAACGTCAGGGCATTCGTTCTAAAGACAGAAATAACAAAGTAGGACCAAACTACACATCAAAGCAACCATCCCAGTCGTATGAGCAATACATGAGCTCATGCATGAAGCGAAAGGATCTTCTAAAAGAGCAGGACACAACAGATTCTGAAAATCACAAGAACATTCAAAGAGATGAGCCACTGACTGATTATGCAGCTATGAATATAGACTACTTAGAGAAAGGTGGGCCGGAGAAGAATGACACCACATCCCCTACAACTGTCAATAATTATCCAAAGGCTGCTGCGATTCGTGAGGATGATGATGACACAGTGAGTATCATACAGATTGGTTATCCAGCTCTCATTGAGCAGATGAAAGCTCGAAAGTGTGTTGAGTTGTACTTGGTTCATTCTGAGAACTTAATGGAGAAGCAGAAAAAAGATGTGAAGGACAAAAAGGGAAGAAAAGTTTCCAGTCCTTCCAGTAACCACAATGGACATCGTGTCTCTGAAGTGCTTCTGTTGCTCACTACTTTCTTTATGCTTCTTAGTTGCACTTAGTAGTGCAGTCAACACTGATTACATATAAAGGAACACAATTGCCCGTCCTTTCCACTCTCTAAATCTAGGAATCCAAAGGGGAAGTTACATTTTAAATGTTGTGTATATTATCAGTCTTGACTGAAGTTTCTCTTATCTGCTCAAAATGTAAAAAGACTTCTTCTTTTCCTCACTGGCTATTTAAACATACAGTACAAGGCAAATGTATTACTGGCCCATGCATTTTATGAATGTATTTTTTATTATTATAATAATTGTATATCATACAAAACTATTATTATTATTCCTGGGAAATAAAAAAATAAATTATTGTAATAAAATGTTAACCAATGAATGTATTCATAGGAATTTAATGTTATGGATCTATTTAATTACAGTAACCATTTATATTATTTACAAAAACATCATCATCAACTTCAAAAACAACCAACAATAATACATTTTCCTGGGGGGAAAACATTAAATAAAAAAAAAAACTGATAACTGATAAATGAATTTATATGATTTATTTAATAGTATTTATTAGAGTTCATATCTTTCAGTAGTTCTTTCTAAATGTTCTTTCCCTCATGAATGTGTGGTGTACATTGAAATCTACAGTAGGAAAACAATACTGATCTTTTCAATATTTCATAGATCAAACAATTGCTGGTCTGTTCAAAAGCGCCCCAGCAAAATGAAGACCATTGCTATGGTAACATCACAGAGCACAGTGAGGGCTTCACATGATACATGTGGCACGTTGCTAGGAGACCAGTCCATTCAGAACCGAACGTCATGATTAGGAGAAAGCAATTGGAGGCTCAGCAAATAAAGTGGACAGGAATAAGCAGTCAAATATTTATTCATTTACACTCTGAAAACAGTACAAGAAGCAAACAGTGACAGGGTTTAAAATGCCTGCCAAAATACACATCAAACCCTGAAACCAACAGAAGAGTATTAAATGATATCACCGGCACGAAAGGAACAGCAAAAGCTCTTCTGTTATTTTTTATTTTGTCCATCCCATGACATTTCAGGTCACAGAGTTTGCATCAAATATTTTCAGAGAATGCAAATACTAGCCCTTAAATTAAAGCTGGTTCAGTTGTATTACATAATATTTGATTGCTTGACCAAAATTAATAAAATCCTAAATTAAAATCCAAAGTAACATATAATTGCAGAACTGTGAGGCATTAGCAACACAGCATAAATTAAATATAATTTAACATTCATTACATCTGGCTAAAACATTTGAATATATGTTTAATAGTAAAATTGATAATCAAATAAATCTATCAATTGACCTTACCTTGAGCCTGGCATAATATATGGGTAAATTGCAAAATTTACATAAATCATTATTATATAGACATTGTCTACTTGTCAAAAATTTGGATTAATTAAGATTTCTTTTTTTTTTTTTAGATATTTTAAAATATTATTACATTTAAAATATATATTTAAAAATGTATTCCTGATGCCAAAGCTGAATATAATTACTTTTAAGTTTTACTTTTGTAGTGTGTGTGTGAGTGTGGTCTAATGTCATAACTTTCTCAAATTTCATATTTCTCAAAGTATATTGCTGGTGTAAGTTAGTTTCCTCTTTATCAAACACTCTATCAATGAAAATGACTGCATCCTCTGTTTAAAATGAACCCTTTCTGCATCTTGTCTCTCTGTGACAAGAAATGCCTCAAACCCTGTAACTCATCCCCACATAAAGATGTGTGCGACTGTTTCGAGTATTATGAGGACGCTGGTCACGTGCTCTGTACTGCCTGCGTTCCTGTAATACCGCCAGTCCGAGCGGTTGTAGTATCCTGGTCCATCCGGGTAATAGCGCCTGTCCGCCTCTGAGGAGCCATCGTAGCCATATCTCGGTCTGCCCAGAGAGCCCAGCCCATAGCCGATGGCCGCTCCTCCGAGAGCCCCCGCGGCTGCAGCACCTGCCAGTTTCAGGCCCTGCCTGCCTTTGCTCTGGGAAGGTGGCGCTTTGACTGGCAGACCCACTCCCTTGCCCCTGCCACCAAAACCTCCTCCACGCCTGCAGTGGGCCCAAGGATACAACGACACCCACAGTAACATCCACACCCAAATGATCAAGACCTTCTGATTACCCATCATGACTGGGGGTCCCTTCAAAAAACAAACAAAAAATTGACGTAAAAACTATTTTCACTCAGAATTGCAAGCAGATTTTACAACCAATTAGAAGGAAAGAAAACACACTGCAAGTAACACATTGAATTAAATATGAAATGTTGAAGTAGAAAGATTGAAACTGAAAGTGCTTTTCTTGTAAAACATACTCCAGTAATCATTATTTACAACATTAAAAATCATTATTTTTTACAGTGTAGAAAATGAAAGAAATGTAACAAAATTGCAAATTGTTGTTTCCTATAATAATAATAATATTACTTCAATATATAAGTTAGAGTGCTTATTTGTATAACTAATTCAGTCATATAATGGAACTTTCTATAATGAAACTGTTATACATGTTATTCTGTTTATTTCAGTAATTCTTTAATAAGATTTTTTTATTATTATAAAAGGCAAAATGTCTGTGCCGAGACACTTGTAAAATACTTTAGAAATGAATGATATGAAATATTTTTAATACCAATAAATATTATTACAAATAATCTGCTATAAAATAGGGCACATTAGATTTGCATATTAGTGTATGAGCCTCCTTTTCAAATAATAAACATGGCTCTTACTCAAAATGTATCTAAAAAAAAAATATATATTTTATTGATCTATTTTTATTAATCTATCTGTATCTATTTTATTAATATGCAATATTTATTTATTAAAATCTTTTCGTTTTTTAAAATCAAAATGACATGTTTGTTTTAGCTCATTTATTATTGTTATTTTAATCAACATAACTATACAGACAATTACAGTGCGGCGGGGGCACAAGTCATCTGAATCTAATTATACGCTCCATTTCACATCAAAAGATGAGTGCTGACTACTGACAACAAGCAAACGACCTGAATGATGCATCAATTGTCAGACTCACCTAGAACAAGTGCTGTGATCTGCATTGGCTGACACACAAAGACCCACTTGTTGTGCCATAACTATATATATATATATATATATATATATATATACATTATCATAAATTTATTGAATTACAAAGACATTTATGTTGATACCATAATGTTTATTTCAAACATCTAATATTTAAAAAAATTATAAAATAAATAAAATAAATTACAATTAAATAAACCAATTAAAATCTTTAGGATATCATTGACTGTATCTCAAAATGCATGATTATATATCACATTAGATTTGACATATTAAATGCTTCATCTCAGTATTTAGTTCTAAAAACATTTGTTCTCTTCCATATTTTTGCAAATCTCATCAAATCCTCATCTGTCGCTAGAAACAGAAGCATCTTACCTGGTGATGGTGCTGATCACTGGCTTCTATTCACTGCTTGAACTGCTCAAGCTTACTGTGAGGAGCTGCTCTATGTTGTAAACAACCACCTTATGGAACTGTCACTCACTCAACAGCAGCGAATGACCGATCAGGGATGCTGAACAGCCCCGCCCACTCGAGAACAAAGGCACAGCAGAGGATGAATTACAGCCTGGTACTAGTCTAGCTTTTACTCATTTTAAAGCCATTTCTATTAAGATTTACATCCCACTGCTCCTACACTCTATTTCACCCTTGTGTCTATTATCCCTGACCATTACTTTTGCATATCTCAGTTGTAATAGTAACAGATCAGTGCTTAGGAATAATAAAGAAATAAAAAAAATTCATTAGGAGAGATCGCAAATCTTTATTCCACATCAAAAATTAAGATTTATTTATTTATTTTTTAAATGTCATGCTTAACATTGTGGAGCAATGGGCTAATATAGTGTAGTGTAAGATGTATCCTTGCTGAATGGACTGTTGTTATTATTTTTTAGCTCTACTGCTTATTCAGACTCATTCAAATGTTAAATGTATTACACTAGGAACAACTACAGGGATCAATAAAATGTTATGACAGCTTTTACTGCGGTAAATGTGCATGCACGTTCATGAAAAAAAATATTTCAGTAATTGTCTCAATGTTTTTTATTATCAATGGCAAAAATGTGCACATACACTGTGAAATACATATTAAATATTTTAAAATAAAATAAGGCAAATACATTAGATTTTTAAATGATATTTCTTTCTTGTCTATTTAATCACACAATATGGGCTCTACATTATATCAAATTTTGAATTACGATTCTTACGGCTTATTATTATCATTGTGCATGAGTGAAAGTCAAACAATGTTAGTAACAGTAACAGTCTGCTGTTTATCCAATGAAGCTTATTTAGAGAAAGTCATGGTACCTTTGGATATTGCTGTATTATGATATTATATAATATGTTAAGATAATAAAAGTAATAATTTAGCTACAAATATGTGCCTTTTCCTGAGATAGCACCATTTTGTCGATGCTGGTGCTTTAAAGATGGTGTTCAGATGCATGATACATGCCTGAACAGCTTCATCATGTAGTTGAATCAGCTTAAGACCGCATGCATTTCTTGATGATACGTTGCATATCAATGTACCTGAAATAAGGGCACAGAAAAGAAATGAGTGCACATAATGATTTCAAATGCCTCTAAAATGTATAACGTGTGACTCAGTCTGTACCTCTTCTTCAGTTTCTGCATCTCTCTTTCTTCTTCCTCTTGCAGCTTAGCAATGAAGCTTTGTAAAACAGGAAGCTCAAACTTGATGTATTGTGCCACCTTGAGGACAAAATGAAGTATTACAGCAGTATATACATACAAACTTGCACTGTGTACTGTAGTCACTTTGGCTGGATTCAGTCCCCTAACATCCTAGTCTTACTATTTCTGTAATAAATAGTAATAATTAATTAAGCTAAAATGTGCAGTATACAACCAGACACATTATGTAGAATATTGCATCCCACAAGGCAATGTGAATGACCTTTCATAACAAATGTAAAAAAATTGCGAAGTAATAAAAATGTTAAAAATTTGAATACAATTAACTTAATTTATTCTTTATATATCTGAAATATCTTCAGATTTTAGAAATAGCAATTTAAAATTTAAATTATTTGATCAGACTGGAAAATGTTTTTTGGCCATTAAAAAAAGTTATATATATATATATATATATATATATAGTTTATCAAACTAAATCATTTTTGTTAAGTTTGGAAAATCCATCCATCCATAAATAAATAAAAAGCTCTAGCATCCTCTATGGAGGCAAAATTACTCAAAATGACATAATTTCATATATATTTCAATGAATAATTAAATATAGAATTAAACAGTTAATGAAAACATAAAAATAACTAAATTAATTCATTAATTATTATATCACCAAACAAATAATACATGTAATTAATATCCATTGTATGTCATTTTAGCATTAGTTTTATCTTTGAATTGAATGCATTCTTGACTTTTCCAAAAAAAAACCAAACAAACAAATAAATACTGCTGTTCAGAGAAAGAATTGTGAGGAAAAGTAAGCATCAATTGTGAAATGATGCTAAAATGAAATAAAACGGACATGTACTAATTTTTTATTTGTATTTTATTTGTATGAATTCTAGGTTTTATTAACAATTTAATGATATATTTACAGATTTATTTAAATATCTAAATATGTATTTAATTATTTATTTTTGGCCCTACATAAGACAAGCAGTTTGGAAGGTAGGTAGATAGATAGACAGACAGACAGACAATGTGCTATTTGGTTTCTTACATCATGGGTGACCTCTTCTACCTGGTCCGTCTCCATAAGGAACATTTTGCTGACCTGTTCACAAGGGCCTTGCAAAACTCTGAGCGCCAAAGGATAGTCATTAGGCTTCAGCTGATGTCTCTCTGAGAGCAGGGACAGAAATATGAACTCAGGGGCAAAGAAACTGCAATATGATGCATTTCATCTCAGTTCGGACGTACCTCCACTCGTGTGGACGATATAGAGGCTGAATTCATCCGGACTGTTCTCAATCTTGAACTTGTAAAGCAGCACTCGCATGACCTGTGCTGTCGTCATACAGCTGTTGACACGGACATTGGTCACAGAGCCGAACGCTGGGGTAAAAACTGCCGTCTGTTTGACAGAAACAAGTGTGAGCAAAAGCATGAGGGTTTAATAACGTGCATACAGTTCACGAAACACGACGCCCACCTTGTGGTTATAAAAGTGGCCGTTGAAGGAGCATCGGTTTCTCTGGACTCTCCTGATTCCAAGTCGTCGTCCGTTAATTCTCCTTCCACAGACATCACTCTTGGTCCTGGGGAGCCGATCGGAGTGTGTCGACTCCTGCTGTTCCTCACCTGCCAGATGAGATGTAACAAATCCAACGAGACAGACACAGTCGTTCAGATATAATACGTAGACAGTGAATACTGTGAAGTTTTGTTTAAAAAAATTAAATAAAATACAAAATCAAGAATGTATTCACCTGCCTCTTCCTTCTCTTCGCTGAAGTCTTTTGATTGGTCGTCTGCTGTAGTGACCTCACTGGAAATAGACAGCTCATTTGTTTCATGAATTATTGATTATCTGTAAAGTTGCCTAAATGTTCCTTATAATAAGCAGCACAACTGTTTTCAATATTGATCATATTTCTTTATCAGCAAATCTCAGTAATAAATTACATTTTAAAATATATTTTAAAACTTAATTTATTGTAATAATATTTCACAATATTAATTTCACTGGTTTTGCAGCCTTTGTGAGCATAAGAGACTTATTTCAAAAACGTTTAAAATTCTCACTGCCCCTAAACTTTTAAAGTAGTGTAAACGTTTTATGTAATGTTATACAACGGATAGTTCTGGTCCTTGATTCTGATTGGTTGAGCCACGTTCGAAGCTGTTGTAAATTACTCTACGAACAAACACCTTTGTTTACTTCTGTGTGTTGCTCGGCAATCACTTTGTTGCAACCACAACCGTTTCTGAGGAAGTTTATCAAACTAAATCATTTTTGTTAAGTTTGGAAAATCCATCCATCCATAAATAAATAAAAAGCTCTAGCATCCTCTATGGAGGCAAAATTACTCAAAATGACATAATTTCATATATATTTCAATGAATAATTAAATATAGAATTAAACAGTTAATGAAAACATAAAAATAACTAAATTAATTCATTAATTATTATATCACCAAACAAATAATACATGTAATTAATATCCATTGTATGTCATTTTAGCATTAGTTTTATCTTTGAATTGAATGCATTCTTGACTTTTCCAAAAAAACAAACAAACAAACAAACAAATAAATACTGCTGTTCAGAGAAAGAATTGTGAGGAAAAGTAAGCATCAATTGCGAAATGATGCTAAAATGAAATAAAACGGACATGTACTAATTTTTTATTTGTATTTTATTTGAAAGGTTTTATTAACAATTTAATTATGTATTTACCGATTTATTTAAATATCTAAATATGTATTTAATTATTTATTTTTGGCCCTACATAAGACAAGCAGTTTGGAAGGTAGGTAGATAGATAGACAGACAGACAGACAATGTGCTATTTGGTTTCTTACATCATGGGTGACCTCTTCTACCTGGTCCGTCTCCATAAGGAACATTTTGCTGACCTGTTCACAAGGGCCTTGCAAAACTCTGAGCGCCAAAGGATAGTCATTAGGCTTCAGCTGATGTCTCTCTGAGAGCAGGGACAGAAATATGAACTCAGGGGCAAAGAAACTGCAATATGATGCATTTCATCTCAGTTCGGACGTACCTCCACTCGTGTGGACGATATAGAGGCTGAATTCATCCGGACTGTTCTCAATCTTGAACTTGTAAAGCAGCACTCGCATGACCTGTGCTGTCGTCATACAGCTGTTGACACGGACATTGGTCACAGAGCCGAACGCTGGGGTAAAAACTGCCGTCTGTTTGACAGAAACAAGTGTGAGCAAAAGCATGAGGGTTTAATAACGTGCATACAGTTCACGAAACACGACGCCCACCTTGTGGTTATAAAAGTGGCCGTTGAAGGAGCATCGGTTTCTCTTGACTCTCCTGATTCCAAGTCGTCGTCCGTTAATTCTCCTTCCACAGACATCACTCTTGGTCCTGGGGAGCCGATCGGAGTGTGTCGACTCCTGCTGTTCCTCACCTGCCAGATGAGATGTAACAAATCCAACGAGACAGACACAGTCGTTCAGATATAATACGTAGACAGTGAATACTGTGAAGTTTTGTTTAAAAAAATTTAATAAAATACAAAATCAAGAATGTATTCACCTGCCTCTTCCTTCTCTTCGCTGAAGTCTTTTGATTGGTCGTCTGCTGTAGTGACCTCACTGGAAATAGACAGCTCATTTGTTTCATGAATTATTGATTATCTGTAAAGTTGCCTAAATGTTCCTTATAATAAGCAGCACAACTGTTTTCAATATTGATCATATTTCTTTATCAGCAAATCTCAGTAATAAATTACATTTTAAAATATATTTTAAAACTTAATTTATTGTAATAATATTTCACAATATTAATTTCACTGGTTTTGCAGCCTTTGTGAGCATAAGAGACTTATTTCAAAAACGTTTAAAATTCTCACTGCCCCTAAACTTTTAAAGTAGTGTAAACGTTTTATGTAATGTTATACAACGGATAGTTCTGGTCCTTGATTCTGATTGGTTGAGCCACGTTCGAAGCTGTTGTAAATTACTCTACGAACAAACACCTTTGTTTACTTCTGTGTGTTGCTCGGCAATCACTTTGTTGCAACCACAACCGTTTCTGAGGAACTACATTGTTTGGTGGAAGAATACTGTTTTTATTAATATCATTACACTTTATTTGCTCCGTTTTATTCTGTGAAACCTTTCTATGTTTATGGAATAACCGTTTTATAAAAGCAATAAGCCCTGTGAAGCCATGGTTTACAGTGAATTTATAACAGCTAAGGGGCTTCGCGTCGTGTCTAACAATGCCCCTTAGCTGTTAGAAATTCACTGTAAACCACGGCTTCTTGGAGCTTATTGCTTTAGTAAATTTCTATCACATTAGTTCAACACATAATGGTTAAGTATATAATTGTGGCTCTGCTTTCTAAACTACAAACATAAATGTGCATTTTTATTCTAGTTCCATTGTAAAAGCAAAACAACGAACACATTTATGATTTCTCAGTTTTACAAACTGAGGCATGAAATTAATTTCTGTGGTAATTCACAGATATTGTCAAGGTAAATTTATATAGGCTATAACCCAAACCATTAACCCAAAAGCACCCTTAAAAAATAATATATATAAAAATGAAATAATTCAAAATATCAAAACAAAAACTGTTTGATAAAAAATACATATCTAATCCTTCTTTGCATTAAACATGTGTGCAGGACTGTTTTGTATGTAACAGCTTCTGCTTTGTGGGTTAGTGTGAAGTAATATCTGACTCGAGTGTGTTGATGTCCGTTTCGGCACTCAGAGATGTTAGTGAGGGGCGTGGCCTGCCTGCCTCCTTCTCGTCCTCCATCTGCAGTCTGATTGGCCGCCTCACGCCCCAAAAAACATTGAGTAAACCCTCTATGATCAACTCTCCTTCCTCCTGTGAAAATCACATAACACTTATGTCATCAGTTATATGGCATCAATACAACCGGCTGTAATTTACCAACTGACCGACTAACCTCTCTGTGTCTCAACTGGAGGGCTCCTCCTTTGTAATAAAGGTTGTATGTGTTAAGGTTTGAGAGGAGAATGCTCCTGCAACCAAAAAGGAAAAAGGAAAGGAAGTCAGGTTTATGAGAACGGTGAGAGCAAGAAACCTTGCAGTAACACAGCAAAATGCACTTACTTGCTTACAAATTTATTTTCGCCAATCTGGACCTTGTCTGGATCCTCACTGTCCATGTCGAGTCAGTAGAAAAACACTAGGAAGGCCTGTAAAGAGTGAAGGGATGAACTGAAAAAGGATGTTCGAAAACTTCTCCTCAGAGAAAAAAGTCAAGGAGAATCTCATGACTTTTCGCCTCATAATCGCAAAAGGACTCCAGGCAAGATTCTCACACACAGAAACACACAAGCTGGATAAAAGATTAGCTGAACTGTCCTACACCACACTGTTAAACTATTAAAAGCTGTAAACACACTTTTAGGTCAAATATTTTATATTTTACCATGATTTACTGTGACATATTTCATCCTTTTTACTGCTGATGCAAAAGTAATGAACAAGAAATTACTAATACATCACAACCAAGCAATAACGTCACAGAATTTGCACTTACACACTTAAAAATATAGGTTCTTCATTGGCATATGGTTCAATGAAAAACCTTTACAATGATAATTCACCCCGAAATGAAAATTCTGTCACCATTAACTCAATCTCATGTTGTTCCAAAACTGTATTTCTTCTGAGAAGATATTCTTAAGAATGTTGGTAGCCAAACAGTTATGGTTACCATTGACTTCCATTGGATTTTTTTTGTCTACACATTGTTTGGTTAACATTCTTCAAAATATCTTCATGTTCTACATACAGGTTTAGAATGACATGAAGGTGAGTAAATAATGACAGAAATAAATTTTTTGGGTGAACTATCCCTTTACATCCATGGAACATTTCCATTACATAAAAGGTTCTTTAGATTAAAAAAAAAAAAAAAGTTATTTTAAGAACTGTTCACTGAAAGGTTCTTTGAGAAACCAAAAATAGTTCTTCTATGGCATCTCTGCAAAAAAACAAACAAACAAAAAAACCCTTTTGAAACCTTTGAAAGAGTATAGAGAGCTGAATTCAGTTTTTAAACCAACATTTGTCCTTGATTCTGATTGGTTGAGCCACGTTCGAAGCTGTTGTAAATTACTCTACGAACAAACACCTTTGTTTACTTCTGTGTGTTGCTCGGCAATCACTTTGTTGCAACCACAACCGTTTCTGAGGAACTACATTGTTTGGTGGAAGAATACTGTTTTTATTAATATCATTACACTTTATTTGCTCCGTTTTATTCTGTGAAACCTTTCTATGTTTATGGAATAACCGTTTTATAAAAGCAATAAGCCCTGTGAAGCCATGGTTTACAGTGAATTTATAACAGCTAAGGGGCTTCGCGTCGTGTCTAACAATGCCCCTTAGCTGTTAGAAATTCACTGTAAACCACGGCTTCTTGGAGCTTATTGCTTTAGTAAATTTCTATCACATTAGTTCAACACATAATGGTTAAGTATATAATTGTGGCTCTGCTTTCTAAACTACAAACATAAATGTGCATTTTTATTCTAGTTCCATTGTAAAAGCAAAACAACGAACACATTTATGATTTCTCAGTTTTACAAACTGAGGCATGAAATTAATTTCTGTGGTAATTCACAGATATTGTCAAGGTAAATTTATATAGGCTATAACCCAAACCATTAACCCAAAAGCACCCTTAAAAAATAATATATATAAAAATGAAATAATTCAAAATATCAAAACAAAAACTGTTTGATAAAAAATACATATCTAATCCTTCTTTGCATTAAACATGTGTGCAGGACTGTTTTGTATGTAACAGCTTCTGCTTTGTGGGTTAGTGTGAAGTAATATCTGACTCGAGTGTGTTGATGTCCGTTTCGGCACTCAGAGATGTTAGTGAGGGGCGTGGCCTGCCTGCCTCCTTCTCGTCCTCCATCTGCAGTCTGATTGGCCGCCTCACGCCCCAAAAAACATTGAGTAAACCCTCTATGATCAACTCTCCTTCCTCCTGTGAAAATCACATAACACTTATGTCATCAGTTATATGGCATCAATACAACCGGCTGTAATTTACCAACTGACCGACTAACCTCTCTGTGTCTCAACTGGAGGGCTCCTCCTTTGTAATAAAGGTTGTATGTGTTAAGGTTTGAGAGGAGAATGCTCCTGCAACCAAAAAGGAAAAAGGAAAGGAAGTCAGGTTTATGAGAACGGTGAGAGCAAGAAACCTTGCAGTAACACAGCAAAATGCACTTACTTGCTTACAAATTTATTTTCGCCAATCTGGACCTTGTCTGGATCCTCACTGTCCATGTCGAGTCAGTAGAAAAACACTAGGAAGGCCTGTAAAGAGTGAAGGGATGAACTGAAAAAGGATGTTCGAAAACTTCTCCTCAGAGAAAAAAGTCAAGGAGAATCTCATGACTTTTCGCCTCATAATCGCAAAAGGACTCCAGGCAAGATTCTCACACACAGAAACACACAAGCTGGATAAAAGATTAGCTGAACTGTCCTACACCACACTGTTAAACTATTAAAAGCTGTAAACACACTTTTAGGTCAAATATTTTATATTTTACCATGATTTACTGTGACATATTTCATCCTTTTTACTGCTGATGCAAAAGTAATGAACAAGAAATTACTAATACATCACAACCAAGCAATAACGTCACAGAATTTGCACTTACACACTTAAAAATATAGGTTCTTCATTGGCATATGGTTCAATGAAAAACCTTTACAATGATAATTCACCCCGAAATGAAAATTCTGTCACCATTAACTCAATCTCATGTTGTTCCAAAACTGTATTTCTTCTGAGAAGATATTCTTAAGAATGTTGGTAGCCAAACAGTTATGGTTACCATTGACTTCCATTGGATTTTTTTTGTCTACACATTGTTTGGTTAACATTCTTCAAAATATCTTCATGTTCTACATACAGGTTTAGAATGACATGAAGGTGAGTAAATAATGACAGAAATAAATTTTTTGGGTGAACTATCCCTTTACATCCATGGAACATTTCCATTACATAAAAGGTTTTTTAGATTAAAAAAAAAAAAAAAAGTTATTTTAAGAACTGTTCACTGAAAGGTTCTTTGAGAAACCAAAAATAGTTCTTCTATGGCATCTCTGCAAGAATTTAAGCCCAAAATTAAATAGCTTCCAAATTAAAACCAAATAAAGAAATAAATAAATAAATGTAAAAAATCAAATGTATTGTCTGGATTAGTACTTGACTAATGCAAATCTCTGATAATATTTTTGTCTCTCTCTGTTAAAATGTATATTACTTAATATTTATTTAACATAGAAAATACTGTCACACCGTTGAACTTGTCATGGCAAATAAATGGAAGAATTTAAGCATATTCCTTCCTTCCTTCCAATCAATCAATCAATCAATCATGAATAAATGAATTGAATGAATGGCTAAGTATTTCCCTCATTTCTACTACAGCCTCACTGTGTATTTTTATAGTTAACGTTTTTGTTTGAATTTCACATAATTTACTTATTAAATTATGTGAAATAATAAATAAATAATTTTTATGCACATCATGGAGTCATTCACAGATGCCTTTATTTTTGTAAAAAAAAAGGCAAATATGCAAAAGTTCATTTATCTAGGCAGAAATCAACCAGTTTAAGAGCACAGATGTATCTACATATATACAAATGAGCATTTACAACCTGTCTTGAATGCTTAAGGTTAAATTGAGACACACGCAGACGGCCCACATCTTGTTGTTAAAGCATTCAATGCAATCAATCATAATATTCATTCACATGCTACAGATGATGTGCAAGGCCTAGGTACAAAACACAAGTGTTTCTAGAGAGTCCCCGTGGAGTGCTTGAGGACTAATGGAACGATGCTGAGAGTCGATGTGGAAAAAGAGCTAGGATCACTCTGCACTTCATGCAGCGCTCTAGATGACATTCTCAAACAGCTGCATGGAGCTCATAATGTTCTCGTCCTAATAAAACAGCAGAGGCAGGAAAAGTGTCAGTCACAGATTGTTGCTGACAGCTTCATGTTAGAGAGAGTTTAGAAAATGTCTGGCTGTCACACGCTGACAGTGAGAGCCTCCGTATCAACATAAATCAGTCCAGTGTTGACATTTCTCTGACATTAACTCTGATGCTTCTGTCTATGCATGGTGAACAACCGCAGATACTTCTAGACATGACTTCAAAACAAAAGCATTTAAAGGGGTCATTTCTTCTTCTTCTAAGGTTTCACTTAATATATATTGTTAGTCAAGATTTTTTTGTACCAAAACAACGGATTTATTATTTCATGACCATTTCACATAGTCTTTTTGACCAGGCTGTTTATTTTTGTTTATTTTCTACTGGCAAACTAATTAATCACTAATTAATATTCATGAGTTAAGCTGATTTATTATGTGTTCACGCCTACTTTTCAGTTCAAAATTGGCATTGTTGATATGCAAATATAGGTTAATATTTCAAACCCAAGTTTTTTTTTGTAGCTCAATTTTTAATAAATTTCATTAAATAAAATCAAACTATTATTCAAAGATATAATCATATTTAACTATCAATCCAAGTGGCATGCTTATGTATAATAATAATAGTAAAAATAATAATAATTATTATTATGCATGGTGAGGTACTGCAGATACATAAAAACAAGATTGAAGGGATCAAATTATAAATATACATTCCTCTGAGGTTCACTTGTGTATGATGTTAGTTCAGATTTTTGTGACAAAACCCATTTTTCATCCTCTTATACAATCAAATTTGGATTGTTGCTGGCCCTGTGTTAACTATTTCAAAAGTATTTCCGAATTTGTTGTTTTTGTAGCTTAGTTTTTGATAAACTTCCTTTCTGGACTAGAGAGGAAGTTTTGAGTTACAGTATTTTCATATTAGCTAAAAATGAACTCTTCCATGTCTAAACATTAAGAAAAGTTTTGTTTCTTATGATATGACTTCTTTAAGTCTGGCCTACCTTCTGACAGGTCTCTATGAACTCATCAATGGTTACAACACCATCTCTGTTTCGGTCCATTTTCTGAAACAAACATGTTTTCAGAGTTCAGAGATGATTATGGCTGGCTGACATAATTTCTATGGGACTGTTAAAAGTTTGTTACCTGGAAGAATTGCTCCACGTGTTCAAATGCAGCATCATCTTTTACACAAGGAAAGGTGTACCTGCCCATCATGTCATAGATGGACTTCATGATAGCCAGCATTTCCTGTAGAAAGTGAATGTTAATCGCGGTAACAAATTGTACTAATGTTACAATGTTAACACTGGTGTTTGTACCTCTCTGGTGATGTAGCCATCTTTATTAATGTCATACAGGTTAAAGGCCCACCTCAGTTTCTCTGTCACAGAACCTCGAAGCAGAACAGACAGGCCGATTACAAAGTCCTGCCAAAACACACATTTTACAATTGATTAAAGAACAAAACTAAATTTAATATTGTCAGTTGTGATTATCTGTTGGACTAACACTTATGTTCTGTTGATATTGAACCTAATGACGGAAGTGTAAAAATAATAGTAGTAATTAACCTTTTTTTTGTTCCTCTGATATAAATCTAGTAGACTGATATTATTGTTAATCTTCTGATTTACAGGAATATAAACATTTGAGTTGAATACAGTAATATAACACGGAGCTGCAGTCTTTCAAATGACTGTAACAATTTGTAATAATGTTCCTTACCTCAAAACGAATAGAGCCATTTCGGTCCATGTCAAAAGCATTGAAAAGGAAGTGTGCGTATGTGGTTGCATCTAGAAAAAAGAAGTGATTGACTATATTCTTGATATTTGGATAATTGGACACACCTACTCATTCTTTATTATGACTTTTATAGATTTTATAATAAGAGGCAAGTCATAAAAAGAAAACAAAAACAAAACAAAACAAAAATGCTGAGTAATATATATATATATCTTTTTTTTTCTTTTCTCATTATGTATTCATTTTTTTTACAAATGAATGAATGAATGAATGCATGAATGAATGAATGAACAAGAAGTTGAGAACAATGAGATAATTTTAATTAATGCTATTCCCTTAGGGGTATAGTACATAAATTCTCCCGTAGATGCCTGGCACGTCCCACTAACATAATGTACTTGAACCAAGATTGTATCCACACTAATCAAGATCCACCAAATTAGAGTTGGAAATGTGATAATCACTTTACCTCCTTGAGGGAGGAACTGGGAATATATTGATTTAAACGTCTCCTCATCCACCAATCCACTGGGACACTCCTATTAAGAAACATAATTTGACCTTAATAACCCAACCTAACATATGAAGGAAACATTAACTTGTGACAAACTTGTGCTTCTTAAGGTGTCTTACGTTTTTGAAGCCTCTGTAGAGCGACTGCAGCTCCTTCCTAGTGAACTTGGTCTGAGCCTGGAGCTGCTCCAAGCCCTCTGGCTGATGTCGCACCATGGCCAACTCCAGATCACTGTCAGTGCTGTCTGTCAGAGAGAGAGCATGAGGATGAGGATGAGGAAGAGAGGGGAGAGGAGGGCCGTGGAGGAGGTGAGTGACTGATATCAGTTGGGCTGCACTGAGGACGGGACAGTAAAGGAGGAAACAGGTAAAGCATGTGTACAGGTGAAAGAACAGCCACACATTTGGGGTTGAAAAGAGGAAGACAAAAATAGACACTGAATAAACCACAGAAGAGGAGCTGTTGGGGAGACAGACGGGGCGGGACGGGAGACCAGGACGGCTCGATATCAGTGATTCTCAACTGGTTTTGCTTCAGGGCCCAGAATTTTAATTGGACGTCAAGTGGCGACCCAACACCAAGCACCAAAATTGGTTAACATACAAAAATGCCCTTAAAATGAAACTTTGAAATGAAATGAAATTGAAATCTGTCACCCTTGTAAAAAAGACCTACACTTGCTAAAGTATGACATGAATGTAATGATTTGGGACATTTACATGTTGAGTATTTTAATAAGAATTGATATCAAATGCAATTAATTGAAACTGAATTTGCTGAAATATGTTTGTTTGTATTTTAGCATCGTTTCCCCCCACGACCTTAGTAATAACCTGCAACCCACCAGTTGAGAAAAGCTGACCTATCCGACATTTACTCACCATCTATGAGGCATACGAGAACAAAAACAGGGAAGGGAAGAGATTTAGAGAATATAGAAATAAGAGAGAAATAAAGAGGAAGCAATGCAAAAACAACACATTAGTTGAACAGTACTACAACTGCATGACATTAAATGAATGTATTGCTTCATATTCTGAATAAAGCTTATGTATTCTTCTTAGATTATGTGCAGTTGTTACCACCTTGCTCTTTTTGAATTTTACAGTTAATTTAGTTTCCACATGCAGCACATTTTTTAAGCTACCTGACTAGTGTACACTGTGCATATAGTGCAAATAGACACATTATATTTAAATCACAAAAGATTTCCATTTCAAATAAATGCTGTTCTTTTGAACTTTCTATTCATAAAAGAATCCTGAAAATATATCAAAGTTATAAGAAATGTTTTTTGAGCAGCAAATCAGCATATTAGAATGATTTCTGAAGGATCATGTGACACTGAAGACTGGAGTAATGATGCTGAAAATGCAGTTTTGCATCACAGGAATAAAATTACATTTTAAAATATATATTTAAATAGAAAACTATTATTTTAAATAGTAATAATATCTCACATTATTACTGCACTTTAGATCAAATTAATGCAGCCTTGGTGAGCATACACTGTAAAAATGATTGTGATTTTAACAGTAAAAGACTGTAAAAATGCTACAGTAAAAACCTGTTAACTGGTTAACAGTAAGTTTCCATACATGCAATACATGTAATTACTTGATATTATTTGATGTTTTTTTTGTTGTTGAAATTACATGTTTCTTCTTAGTTTTTTTTCTTATCAGTTGTGTACACTAGGGTTTAATCTTACATCTAATGTTGTTAAATTAATGTTTATTGCATTATTTCAGTATCATGTGTTTCACCATGATGGGGTTTAGTGTTTGTGTGAATGACATTTTCTATATATAAGTATTGCCCTCCTCAGCTCGTAGAAAAGCTGTTTGTGATGAGCGTTGGTTCTCATCACCACCAGTTTTTGGTGGTTATCAGTGCATTACAATGGTTCAAAACAGATATTAGTACATCAATATGTTGGTTTATTAACATTACATCAGAAATACAGTATTTTCTTGTGAATTTAAGTTAAGTCTGTAAAACCTAAAATGTTGCTACCATATTTTTTACGGTGAAGTTCTGGCAACCACAGCTGCCGGTATTTTACCGTAAATGTCACCGATTTTTATTTTATTTTATTTTTTACAGTGTAAGACACTTATTTCATAAGCAGTAAAACATCTTACCGACCTCAAACTCTTGAATGGTCACGTACACACCACACGTTTACACCAATGCAAGTCATTTTAAGAGTTTGGTCAGGTAAAAAAAAGCTCCTAATACACATTTACCCTTTTTACAGTAAACTAGGGCCAACATCAAAACCATACGGTGGTTCTTACCGTCCAGCGACAGCGGCTCCATGATGCCAAACTGTTTGAGCACCATTATAAACAGAAGAATCACTACAGCAACTGCAAACAGCTCCATGCCCTGAATAGCCATTGCACTGAGAGCTAACTGCGACTAGATATGCGATTCCTTCAAGAAAATTTACTAAGGTCAAGAGGTCATGCTAGATTTCAACTGAACGATTTTAGGAAAAGCAACTCATCTTGTTTGATCAATGGTTCTGCTGCAACAAGTTCTTAAAGTCTCCAGGGTCCATTCCCGGAACAGTCCATTCCTGGAATTCCTGATGCATTAAGCTATAAACAGACCACAGATGTAAACCGTACAGTAATGGTGGCACTACGGATCCTTTAAAATAAAGTAAAAATTAAAATAAAGTGACTAAGTTACAAATTCCTTCACTTCCACATCCATGTATCTCTATAACAACATCAAGCATACAGAAACGTCCTGTGGCTTTGGTCTCCACAGACTAGCGCGTCATGGTCCTCCTCAGCCTACATATTCCTTATAGAGTACCGAAAGAGTGTGATCTCAAGACACAGACACTCCCGCTTCCCTCTCCATCTCTCTAGCAATAAAGCACAATGATGAGCAGGCCATTATGTATGTTTAAATGCAGTTGAACTGCTGCATCATTCATTTATTTGCATGATACTAAACTACAGACTTTACTAATATGCCTGGTCTTTAAAATGGGTTTCTTTTGTGATAATGACAGGCTGACTGTACATTATCCCACTTATTACATGGCTACTTGCCAAATAAATAAATGAAATGTGATATCGCAATATTGATTTCAGTTCAACTTATTAAATTATGTGAGAATAAAGAGACAACGCAGTAATATGAGATACATGATGCTAGTAGAGATTTAGGAAAATCGGTTGTCTGAAGCAATTTAGTGAGAAACCGAGCGTTTAGTTGCCATTACACAAGAATATCTGACCACAGAATCAAGATTTAGAATCAGGTATTCCAAAGCACCATCTAATAATATCTGTTAATGGTTTAATGAGAGTTATTATGAGGTTGTAATGGTTTGTCTAAAGTGGAGACATCTATAAAGTGAAATATAAAGCAAATAAAAATATTGTAAATATAAAATATACAAAATATATTGAAATTACAGTAAAAATACAGTAAAATATAGTAAAATGTAATTTACTTAAAAAAAAAAATAATTATTTTAAATAATTATAATTAGATAAATAAATTAAATTAAAAATTACACCAATAAATAAATTAATAAAATTACAAATACGGCAAGTAAATAAATAACATTAAAATATGACAAACAAAAAACAATAAAAAAAAGTATATTTCAATCATTTGATAAGCCACTTTGTATGTCACATTAATCAGACTATTGGTGTACCGGCTAGACCATCTAAAATTAAACTTGCCTAATAATGTCTATCCTCAGCATCTACTGTACAATAACTATTAAAACATCCACAAAGATTCATGACATTACTACCTCAGTCTGCTTCACTCACAAACATCATGCTCTTAAGTGTTTATGCATTAGCGGAAGGACATTATGACTATTTTATGTATGTAAAAACAATGTGAAAACCATGCCTTTCTGCTCTCTTTCCTCGTCAGCTGTCTAGATACATGAAACCAAAAGCTTCATGCATGTTCAAACCGAGGAGCAGAGTGAACTTTGAATATTGTAAAGCTGATGCAGATTTTAAAAAGTGACATTCATACCTTGAGATGCTACCTCAGACAGACTGACAAACTTGACTGTGAAATGCACTGAAAGTCAGCGATATATTTTAATGAAATTATATGGAGAAAAAAAACAAACAAAATAAAAACTTATGACCTCTAAAGGCAATATTTTGTCTATTCCAAGTTGAATGTTTATTCGATGTTTTACTCATCTTTCACAGTTTTGCTTTTGAATAATAATTTTGTGGCTTTTTCCAGCAAATTTCAACAAATGAATCAGCATTTCATGTAATGCTGTAACTGAAAGCCCTTGTTATTAATATGAGAATAGTGCATCAGAATTTTAAAGGAAGATATACTAATCACTGATAACATGAAAAATTGTACCCATCAAAGGCCTGAGTGCAGGAGGGGAAATATGACTGCTAATGAGTTTGCACTAATTAATGCATGAGTTTAAACTGGGCACAGGCATCAGAGAGTCAGGGGAAAATCAATACATGAGGAGATGACATGGGCCTTGGGGTGTGCCAGAAACTAAATTCAAAACACTCTGAACTTCCGCTTAAATATCATAAGTAATTAAGTTAAAAAACAAACAAGAATTCGTTGACATTTATGCAAGACAAGTGCAAGGACTGACATGAGAAAGTAGGAAAACTTACTGACATCCCAATAGTTTGAAAGGTAGTATTTAACGTAACGTGGAACCATGAAGGATTCATTTTATGTAATTTGGAAATAGCTGTGTATGTTTTTCATAAGTGATGCATTATAGACTTTATAGTATGCATGAGGGTGAATATTATCTCAGGGGAGTGTCTCCATATAAGTGATTAAAACTCAGTGCAGCTCTTAATTTAATGGCCTTGTTGCTGAAACAGCATTATAGTCTATGAGTATGATACATCAAACATGAGGCATTATTTATAGACGTCTTGGGTTCTTAGTTTGCCTGTAATTATTTACGCACCCTGAAAAGTACATCAGGAATTATGCGAAGTATTTACATATTAATATGTCTAGCATAAAACCAAAGCAATACAGAAACAGATAGTTGTTAATAAGGAAAAACATCTCAACAGGAACACCGCGATTACTTAATGAATTCTACCTTTATCTGATAATACTGTCAGCAGTTCTCTGTGGTTGTCAAGTAATATTGCATTAATAAATCACATTTCCTACATTCAATAAGAAGTGTCAGCATATTGCATCACAGAATGTTGCACTACACAAGTCTCACTGCTGAGGGATTTAATAGGAGACTCTACATAATAGAAATCTGAGATATCTCTGAAAATATGGAGAGATCTATGTTAAACAGTGGTTTTCAATTCCAGTCCCGGCGATTCCCCGCTCTGCATATTTACAAAATGTGCAGAGTGGGGGGTCGCGAAGACTGGAATTGAGAGCCACTAAAATAGAGCTTCAATGAATGTATGGACTCGAATCTGATTAGCTCATATGAATGTTGCTGTAATATGCAATAATAAAATGTAGATGTATCAATATCCTGTGTGTGTGTGTGACACAGATACAAACAATTAAATATTTGGGTTCAGTAAGAATTTTTTTAGTATTTTACTTTGCAAGTTTGCATTTATTTGATCTAAAAAAAAACAAAAAAAGTACAGTAAAAACTATATTTTGAAATATTATGTTGTGAAATATTACAATTTAAAATGATGGTTTTCTATTTTAATATATTTTGAAATTTAATTTATTCCTGTGGTGCAATGCTGAATCTTCAGCAGCCATTCCTCCAGTCTTCCTTCAGAAATCATTCTAATGTGTTGCTATTATCAATGTTGAAAACAGTTGTGTTACTTACTATTTTTGTGGAAACTGGAAAGTGTCTTAACTGTCACATTTGATCAATTTCATAAATCATTGCTAAAAACTATAAATTCTTAAAACAAATATTTACTGATGATAAACTTGGTAGGTGTCACGGAACGTTACAAATCAGAGCTCACAAAGACGGAATAACAGAAAACAGCCTTTAATCCAACTTGCACAAGAAATACAGAGAAACAGGCTTGCAACATCCAAAACCCAATGTTATGCCTGGTTCTGACTACACGATTTTAGCCCGATATTGCCACGATTTGCTTGACGTAGGGTGTCGTGGGGATCCGTAAACGACAATGGGCGTCGGGACGCAAGATTCCATCGTTTCATCGAGGGACTACCACGACAGAACAAAGAAAGAAAAATGCTGACGACCTATAGCAGAAGCGCTTCAGCAATGTTTACACTCTTGTTTTCGGAAGTCAGTCGCTAGTTCCCGATGACATCACCGTTAAAGACGGCACACGATGAATGGTCGGGAAGCAACGTGTAGTCTGACATGTTTCTTGTCCACGACATGACAAGATTTTAGGAGTCAAAATCGTGTAATGTGACACAGTGACTATCGTGACCGACAAAAATATTGTATAGTCTGAACCCGGCAGGTCATTGAACTCTGGAAACATGGGACTATAAATACTAAACCAAATGAAGACTAATAGGCTAATTAATAGACAACAGGTGAACTGAATACAATAAATCACATGCGCACACACTGGGAAACTATGTCAAGCAAGGCACTGAAGGCAAAAATCAAACAATACATGATGTTTTATTAACAAGGTTCGGGAGGAGTGTGTCAGATACTAATTAACACAGGTGGAGTGCACTCAAGTTAATCAACACCATGGCATAAATACAGCTGACTTACCTCTATCTGTTGACGGTTGATCAGCATCCCTCCTCTGCCCCATCTCCTCACTTCGAGTTCATACTACACTTATTCTCCGCCCCTTTTGAGACTTTTTTCCAAAAGTTTAGGGACAAATATAGCAACTTCTTGGACAAACCTTATCTAAGTTCTCATCTTGCCTCCTCACTTCGAGTTCATACTACTTATTCTCCGCCCCTTTTGAGACTTTTTTCCAAAAGTTTAGGGACAAATATAGCAACTTCTTGGACAAACCTTATCTAAGTTCTCATCTTGCCCACTGATCTACGTTCATCTATATATAGATCAGTGAATTTGCCATTGTGATGTCATCTAGTGACATTTAGTTACCAGTTTTAGCTACTTTCAATTGAAAGCAGTTGGCAACACTGATACAGGGTGTACTCTAGGTTCGGGCCATTCCCGAGCTCGGAGCCCTTCACCAGACAGCATGCCAAATATGCATTACCATACTTCAGCTAATTATATGTAAGCGTGAACTCGTGAAATGGAACATATGTTTACTAACTTTGTTCTGACATGATCATGAAAGAACTTGAATTTTCACTAGTTATAAAGTGTGTTACACTAGTTTATATAGCACTTCGCTACACTCACAGCCTAAGGTAATTGTATTCATGAAGGCTCTCCATATTTGCCATCTTCAAATGCACGCTGCCATCTGTTGGGCTCACATTAAAGTACAGAGGGAAACAACTGAATTCAGTGGAGTTCAGCTGGACTTTGACTACTTGGGATTCTGTCCTGTTTTTTTGCCCTGATCTATTCTGAATTTTTGCCACCTCTGGCATCTCTTTCTTTTCTGAGTCACATTTTCATGTTGGCCCATTCTTCAAAAACACACTATTATTATTTCTATAAAACCAGGTAGCATTCTTCTTAGTGGTGTATAGTATATTATATACACGGTCAGAGAAAAATGTGCAAAA